CACACACACACACACACACACACACACACACGCTTACACAGCTATCTCGCTGGTTTCCCTAGAGCCACATCTAAGACATTTAGCTGGAAACTAAAACGTAACTGGGAGAACAGTATTAGTTTTCCCAACTCCACCCTGTTCCCAAATCTCTCATTTGAGGGGAACTAATAAAATCATCATCTATCGTGTTATGGACTTTTTAAATCCTGAAGTCCCAGGACCAATCACTTGGGACCACGGAGCTGGAAGAGACTTAGAGTAACTTGGGGAGAGAGAGGGGAGGAAGCCGAGGAGGGGGAGCACTGGAGGCTTTGAGGGGTGAGGGTAGCAACCCCCAGGAAGTTCATCCCACGAGAGAAAAGCGAGAGACCAGGAGAGGACTGAGGTACGGTGACTTTATTATCCTGCAGGTACATACACAGGGGCTCAGCCCCAGGGCGGGACAGCTCTGCTACTCCTTGTGTGACAGTTTATGGGCTTCCACGCCCACCTTGATCACCAACACGAGATACTCCTCAAAGTTAACAGCATTGTCTGCGTTGACGTCCAACTCCTTGAACCAGGTATCTGCATCCTTATTCTGTGAGGATCAAAGCGGGAGAAGCCAGAGCCTAAATCTCTCAGAGACAGCTAAAGCATGGCTGTCTACAGAGGGCAGCGAGGAAGACCAGTGAGCCCCGGGGCTCCCTCAGAGCCCGGCAGAGACCCCCAGCCACACGCAGCCCCTCCTCACCTTGGTGTAATGAGGACACTCTGTAGTCAGCATTTTTTTCAGGTCGTCCCTGTAGAGGGCATGGTAATTCCCCTTCTTCAGGGAGTACTTGTGGAAGACACAGACTAAGGAGTCCAGGGCCTTCTCCAGATCGGTCGGCATGATGTCCAAGGGTCTGCTCACCTGAAGGAAGGAGCCACGTGGGGAATCCTGAGCTGGAGGTGGTGCCCTTGCCCATGGAAGAGGGAAGGGACACTCAAAGGGCTCCATCCCCGAGTAATGGCTTGACCCGGCCTCCACCATCCAAATTATTAAACCAGGAGGTGACCGTGGCTTTGATGGTAAAGGGTGGGATGTGGGTATGGGAGGGACTCTCTCTCTCTCTCTCTCTCTCTCTCTCTCTCTCTCTCTC